TTGTTGCCTCCATCAGAATATTGAACGGAGTCTTTCGAAACATCCACAACATTTACCTTTTTTTAATTTTTTGGCGATTTTGACCTTTTAGTTTTACATTTCATCTTGAAGGAGGAGGGAGAAGAGAGGAGAAACTCTATTCTCCTAATTGAAAAGTTTTTGAAAAATGTAATTTAAGTTGTATTGAGTTGAACCTTGGCAACTAAACATATGAACATATTGTGTGAAGGTTCAACGACTGTCTAAGTTAGAAGAATCTTTTATAATTTTCGGGTATGCCTTGCCTTATTTGTAAAATAACATATCCCAAACGACAGACACTCCTGGTAAAAAAACATGAGTATGAAACTTTACATTTATTCAAAGCTTACATTCAATCAATACATAATGTAAGGTTTCATACTCATGTTGTTTTTACCAAGAGTGTTTGTTGTTTGGGATTTGTTATTTTTACTAATAAGGCAAGTGAGAGCGATTACTAACCTCACTTTTAGTTCCTGATGAAGAGCCAATAAAGTCTCGAAAACTTGAACAGAAAAAAGAGTTCACTTATTTTACCATCCTCTTGTTGACTCCATACTCGAAAACTATAAAAGATTCCATATATACATATATACCTATATTTCTTTGTTCTTGAAAAAGTGTCCCATTTTTACCTCTAGGTCGAACTTTTGAAGATATGAGAGCTGGAAGTTTGATTCTCTAGAACGTGCTAGATCAGTCCAAGATATTCGAGAGTATTTGATAGCAATCCACAACATTGCAGAACATTCCAGAATATGGAATGTTGCGGAGTATTCAAAAATAGTATAGAATGTTCGGAAAAATCCCGAAACAATTCCAGGTTGATGTGGATTATTTCAGAACAGTATCGAAGTCTCTGGAATATTCTGGAATATTGGTATATATGAAGCAAAATGTTTCCATCCCTTACAATTTAAAGTTTATTCTCTCATTCAAACTACCTTACAACCTCATTTTGACTCTCTAAGCAAAGCCGGGTAATCAGCTAATAACAAACAGAAGTATATTCATAATTATCAAATTTTAATTTTAAAATATTGATTTTGAAATAGTTGAATACCTATCCACTTGAAGACACCACAAAACAAAAATGCCACTTTGAGCTTCAAATAAATCAATATGTGAGGAAGCAATTGCAACCTTCTTCATCACACGTTAGAATTCTTTTGTTGAGCGATCGATTTGATTTTGCAGTAACTCTCAAGATATTAATTTTATTAGTATGGTGTGACGGGCGACTGAAATATTCATAAAAAGCTGTTAATGTATTTATTTGAAAAGGATCAATATCGTATCTGTCTGAATATTATACATAATCACTATTTGAAACTGATCCCATGGATGACGTCTTCGTAAGTGAAAATGTCGTCGACCTTAATTATTTTGAATATTAAATTGGGTATAAGCTATCTTTAAAAGATAGACATATGCCATCGCCAATATTTTTGTGAATCTTTGAAATAAAAATATTTGATTGAATTGTTTTGTTATATGTCAAAGAGATTAGATGACGATAAATCCCCGGGGATGGTCATCATACAATAATTCCGTCCACTGGTGAAAACCGTATGAAATATGTTCCTTAGATTTTTAATTTATCGGGTTCAGACCGTCAGTTCACGGTGGGCTATTTCAATTCATAATATGTATTGACACATATTACATAAAAAATTATAATTTACATCATAACATTCAAATTGATATTTCAAGACCTCTGGCAATATTGAAAATATCTTACCCACCGATGCGACATACGTGATGAAGAAAGGTTGCGATTGCGTTGGTTCACTCCAGAAGTACAGGTCGCATTTCTGTCCTGAAATCGATAGATGTGAACATGATTCTTAAGAGAATTTTATTAAAATTCATTATTATCAGATGCAAGCTGATTTGGTAGCATGGACAAAAAATGTATGCATATACAGTTTGTCGAATGTAAGAGGAGCTTTCTGAATTTATATATGCTCTTGCCCACTAGATGCGCGTTAGAAGACGATAAGAGCGTTCAGTTACAATGTTAATCCCGTACCAATTTTGAAAAAGTCTGTGTAGTGAAAATGGAATTCACTTCGGAAACTGAAACGCAATGTATTAACAGGAAAAACAAGGTTGCAAATTATATTATAGAACTACAAGCAAATTATGAATACTCAAATCTACTCAAGACTTGGAATGATTGGAAATGAAGATTTGAGAATCCTGAAAATTTGCTTAATGACCAGATATCATTGACCATTTTCCTTTTATTGAATATTTTCTGGAAATTGGTAATTAGTTGTTATGTAAATTCGTAGTTTTTTTTGTATTGTTTGAAAATTCATTCGGTTCATACTTATGTAAAATTATTAGTCATTGAGTGGGTGAGAAGTCATATGATTTAAATTGTTGAAATATATAAAGGTGCACGCCTGAGGAAGTTACTGTATAGTGAAATACGTATGTCGGTTTCGTAAACTATTCAGTGAAAATCTTATAAAGAAGTATCACTTGAATATATTTTTGGTTCTTAATTTTACAAATGTTCCAATAGTTATTTCACTATTTGGGGCAGAGATAATTTCAACGATTCAAAATTCATGGAATACGATCCAACTGGTCTTGAGTTATAAATAGTTCAACTAACTAGATTCTGCTACTTTGTTTTATATAATGCATTTCTTCAATGTCTCTCCCATTTTATTTTTTGAACGGGTCAACTCAAAAAAAGATGATGAAATAATTCACTTTATTTTGAAGTGGAATTGACAGATGAAAAAAATTTAATGGAGGGGGGTCTTGTGATACATTTTTTTGAAGTTCCTGACAAATGCTTCACAACCCTGGAATATGAAGTCAATATCTTCAACTACTATAAACTGTCGAAACTTTTGATAACTGCCTGAATACATACATATTTAACCACATAATATGAGGTGTAAGCTTGAATTCAGTTCAGAAGATGCTGGAAATGGTTGCCTCAAACTTCTTGACATATGAATAGCTTATCCGATATTTCACGCCGAACATTTTCGAACACAGTAACGTCAATATCTCTACAAATATCTATTATTCTCTGCCGCATATCCAATATTGGAGCAGGTTCAGTTTCGTACACCTTCTGCTTCGAAAAGTCCCATAAAAAAAGTCCAAAGGTGTCAAAGCTGTCGAGCGGGCTGGCCATTCTGTAGGACCTCGATGGCCAATCCAACGACCGGGAAAAGTAGTATCCAAATAGTTTCTTACTTTTCTGGAGTAATGTGATGGTGCTCCATCTTGTTGGAATACAATATACATATCGAATTCATTAGGATTCGCTTCGACGATTTCAGTGATGAGAGGGTCAACAGTAGTTTCCAGCATATTCAAATACAGTTCCCCTGTTAAATTTTGATCAATAAATGACTAACGCTGACTAACGGAAAAACAGATTTTTTTTAAACAGAAATAGAGGTCCTACAATATGGTTTCCCAATATTCCTCCCCAAACGTTATTTTTTTCTGGATATTGTATGTGTTTCCCGGAAAACGTGAGGGTTGCCCAACTAGCAATTTTGTATTTTATAATAGTTGCGGAAACGTTTCGGAGAAACAAATTATAAAACTGTATTCCTCTCAGAAATGTTTTCGAAGTGTTTATAAAACTGCTATAAATAGGAAATTGGCACCGTTTTATAAAGCATTATAGTCATTATCAATATTTTGTAAGGCCTTTTACAAACACTACAAAACAGTTTTATAAACATTTTGGCAGTTACTATAAAATTTGTCTAACACTCTTAAAAAGTAGTTTTATAAAGACTTTCCTTATTGCACTTTTGCAACATATTTAAGCGACACATACAATAATCAGGAGACAATTTTATAAGAGTTTTTTAGTAGTTCCAAGTAGGCGTTATGAAATATAATACAGCCGAAAACGATAACAATTAAATAAAAAAGTGTTAAAAATGTTTTCTTGAAGACGCAAGAAGTAATTTTGTATTGGACACTAGGAAAATATAATAGATGGTGTCACTCCAATAACGGCAATTTTGTCTGTGAACATTGCAGTTGAAAAAAATGTACATTCGTCATCAAAACAAATATTGTGGAGATAGGTAGGATGCCTTGCAATGGTTTCCGTCATTATTTTGCAGAATTCTGTTCTTCGATCAGGGTCATCTTCAGTTGATTGGTATACCATTTTAATTTTGTGTGGATGATACCTATTCCTCTTCAAAAGTATCCACACAGTAGAAGGAGACACCTTACAAACATTCGCGACGGATGATCTGGTAACTTTTTGTTATGTACATGACCGGTAGTTGTGAATTTGGATACAAGTTCTCTTAAATATTTTCTACAGATAGGACGATTCGAAAAACGTTCATTGAAAATTATTTTGGTCTCGTGAAAGTTCCGCGTGGCATCGTAAATAAAATCGCTTCAATTTTTTTTCCAATGGACGAGAATTGACCATTTTATAGATTGTTCACGTGGTACCTTTATACTAGTAAAAGCGAAAACTAAATGAGAATATTCTAACTGAACAATGATGTTCATTGTCGTACTGACATTTTTTGTCGTTTTTATAAACAAAAAATAACTTAACAAACCTTATCGGGTTGTTGGAATTGCCATATGGCAGATAAAAAGGAATATTTCTAGAAATATCGATATTAATTACTATTATTATCATTGAATGTTCCGGTGAAGATATTGAGTTCATGTTGTAGGGTTGTGAAGTATCCGTCAGGAGTTTCAAAATGTGTTACAAGACCCTCCTTTCCATTCAATTTTTTTTCCCAGATGGCGCCCAGTCGCCATCTTGAAAGTTTCATCTGTCAAATTTACTTCAAAATGAAGTATACATGCATTAATTTCATTATTCCAAATTTCAATTTTTTGAGTTGACCCGTTGAAAAAATAAAAGGCGGGGCATTAAAGAAATGCACTGTATATAGGCCACCTTCTTGAAGTGAATTTTAAACATTTGATCAAAAATTCCATTGTTTCAGAAAGATAATGATGACGATGGAGTACCCAATCGCCCAGCACAAGTACGCCTACTCCACGGTGTCTTCGGAAACCCTGAGCGGAAGCTGCGGCAGCAGAAACAACCGAATCCGAACGATTCGGTTGAAGAGGCGAAACAGTGGCAATTCGCCCCTTTCCACCATCAACGGGAGACATGCCCCCGCTCTGGGATTCAGCCTTCGAGGTGGACACGAGCATGGAACGGGGTTTTTCATATCCCACGTGGAGCCTGGATCTGAGGCACATGCTCAAGGATTGAAGGTGCGTGATATTTTGGTAATAATTTCATAGTTGAAATGAACTTTTTTGAAAGCGTTTAGTCAAATTTTGAGATGTCTGGAGCATTGAGTCATTACAGTTATCATTATCATTATCAGAGTCATGAGTTATCATTGAGAATGTCCCAATTTTTGTCTATCAATTCACACTGTTGAGTACGGCGTACCTCAGGGAACCGTTTTGGGTCCGCTACTTTTTAACATCTACCTGAACGATATTTTCTCACTGAATATGGAAGGTGACGTAATTAGTATCGCTGACGACACTGCAGTTATTTATCAATCGGAATCATGGAATTTTCTGAAACAAAAAGCAGAACGATAATCAAATGGTTCGAAAGTGAATTATTGAGTATAAATACATCCAAAACATTTTACCTTACCTTCACTTCGTATGCCAATAATCTACCAGATTTCCAATCACTTAAAATAAAATACGATGACGTAGAACTTTCCGTTTCAACAGTAAATGAATTGAAATACCTTGATATACATACTGACGCTAATCTAAAATGGGATGTACATATTGATTAGTTAGTCAAAAAACTACAATTCGTTACATATAGATTAAAATATGCGAGACCATACAGTTCAGATGCGAATGCTATACTATACATTGTTCGAAAACCACCTCACATACGGAATAATTGCTTGGGTAGCAGCAAACACAACTTTTCTGAAACATCTAGAACAAGCACAAAAATCAGTATTGAAAACTATCCACCTCAAAAAAAAAAACCTACCTGACCGACTCATTATATAAAGAAACATCAATTCTAGACATCAGACAACTCTACGTGCTTAAACTATAATAAGACAACATAATCATAGACATGAATTGAGAAAAATAAAACACCAATATGAAACTCGACACAAAAATAATTCATATGTTCCAAACTCAAGGAAAAACATCTTTCAAAGGTCTTACTCATACCTAGCTCCTCGATTATATATTCTCATCCCACAGCATATAAAAAATATCAGGAGTAACAATTCATTTAAGAATACTCAAAAACTGGGCCTTGGCTTGCCAAGGGTTCAGATACACCAGTACGTTGATATGAAAAATGTTTACAATCACAGTGACATGCACAGAAACTGATTCACATCTTCATACAAAAAGTTTGGAGATGTAATTAAATCAATACGTCTAATACTTCTGAAACGTCTTGCCTTTTATTTATTCAGTTATACTATTTTATATTTTAATTTTTGAAATTGTATTCATTAGTACTCCAATTTCTGCAGAACCCACGCACAAGTGTATCCTTCTGTGGGATTTTTATATTTATTTGGAAATTGCCTCGTACAACTTGTGACATTGAAATATGTATATTTTCCAATAAATATTATTATTATTATTAACAGTTGATGTCAATAAATGTTACTCAAATGATTCACATAAATAATTTCACCAGGGTAATTGTGTGATTGCTAAATGAATGGCATTTCCAAAAATAATCTCTTCTTTAGCAAGAATTCAACAACAAAACAACAGAATTGAAGTCCATTTCATAATCCTCACTCTAGACATGTTCACTGACGTAGTTTGCAATCACTTTTATGTGAGAGTATACGATCTTTTAATAATCTATCAGACTGATCTATATATTCATTGACATTGTAAATATTAACAGTTTCAAATTTTTTTTCCAAATGCCAATCCTAATCATCATCTCCTAGCTCTTTGATGATGGCAGTAACCATTGTCGAAATATTGGAATTATAATGTTATGGGGCACTTGGGCTATCCCAAATAACTTTAAGACTTTGTTCTTAATTGATCAGCAAAGTCTATACTCCTCTCTCTCTCTCTCTCTCTTTCTCTCACACACATATATGATCTGATGAGTCTGAACTTTCATCAAACCGATTCATTCTGTTTCACTGAATTCTAGCAATGTTAGTGTTCAAGATTAGCTTGTTGTAATATAGTATGAAAAAAATACTTTTTCTGATTTCTACTGTTTTTTTTATAGTTACGACCGGTTTTGGTTTGTTAAACTATTGTCAAGTGCCGAAACCGGTATTAACAAATGAAAAAGTTGGTAGAAATCAGAGAAAAGTTATTTTCTTTACCCTTTATTCAAAATGAGTTTCTACAAAATAAATAGGTCATCAATCGAATAAGTTAGCTTGTAGTTAGGTTAGTTCCAAAGTGAGTGGGTCTATTCGACCCTCCACCGCAATTCGCAAGGATTTATTGTAGCTTACACCTATTCATACTCGAACCAAATAAACCCGGCTTTTTAACGAAGCCGATTAGTTTGCATGGTGGATGATTCAAATGACAGTGACCTGTAAGAAGGCCTGTTAGACATCGTAGTTTATCCCTACTGTAGTCCAACAACTGTTTGGTATCAAGCTTCGAAAAGTGAATAAACGCCTTGGAGTGAGCCAAGAAGTCCATAAATCTTCTTGCCATCCAGGTGTTCAATGTTTGTTTAGCAAAGCCTAAAGCGATGCCTATGACAGGTTCTTGCCCGATGAAGCTGATTGCAGCACCTTCCTTTGCAAGAGAGTCAGCAGCTTCATTGCCTTCCAGGCCAGTATGGCCAGGAATCCAGACCAGAAACAATCTGTTAAGTCTTCCTATCGAGGAGAGTCGTTCTCGGCAATTTGCTATAGTCTATCCTTTCCCAACTGGAACGGCAATGAAAATAAGAGTACAGTCGTAAACTTTTCTTACCTGTGGCCCCTAGTCGCCCAGATAGTGATGAGAAGGTCAACAGTAGTTTCCAGCATATTCAAATACAGTTCCCCTGTTGAATTTTGATCAATAAATGACTAACGCTGACTAACGGAAAAACATATTTTTTTAAACAGAAATAGAGGTCCTACAATATGGTTTCCCAATATTCCTGCCCAAACGTTATTTTTTTCTGGATATTGTATGTGTTTCCCGGAAAACGTGAGGGTTGCCCAACTAGCAATTTCGTATTTTATAATAGTTGCGGAAACGTTTCGGAGAAATAAATTATTAAACTGCATTCTTCTCAGAAATGTTTTCGAAGTGTTTATAAAAACTGCTATAAATAGGAAATTGGCACCGTTTTATAAAGCATTATAGTCATTATCAATATTTTGTAAGGCCTTTTACAAACACTACAAAACAGTTTATAAACATTTTGGCAGTTACTATAAAATTTGTCTAACACTCTTAAAAATTAGTTTTATAAAGACTTCCCTTATTGCACTTTTGCAACATATTTAAGCGACACATACAATAATCAGGAGACAATTTTATAAGAGTTTTTTAGTAGTTCCAAGTAGGCGTTATGAAATATAATACAGCTGAAAACGATAACAATAAAATAAAAAAGTGTTAAAAATGTTTTCTTGAAGACGCATGAAGTAATTTTGTATTGGACACTAGGAAAATATAATAGATGGTGTCACTCCAATATCGGCAATTTTGTCTGTGAACATTGCAGTTGAAAAAAATGTACATTCGTCATCAAAACAAATATTGTGGAGATAGGTAGGATGCCTTGCAATGGTTTCCGTCATTATGTTGCAGAATTCTGTTCTTCGATCAGGGTCATCTTCAGTTGATTGGCATACCATTTTAACTTTGTATGAATGATACCTATTCCTCTTCAAAAGTATCCACACAGTAGAAGGAGACACCTTACAAACATTCGCGACGGATGACCTGGTAACTTTTTGTTATGTACATGACCGGTAGTTATGAATTTGGCATAAATGATGTTTATCCCAATTGATTTTTCGGTAAATAACTAGTGGAACCACTACCAACAATTGATAAAAAAGCGGACAAATTAATTTGCAGGTAGTGGTTTCGCTAGTTAATTACCGAAAAATCAATTAGGATAATCATCATTCAACAAACTAAGTCCACATCGGACCAAAAAACTTTAGGTATATAAACAGCTAACCCTTGTCTTTGGATTCAGTATCAATTTGCTTCTCCTGAAGATGCTAACCTTGTTAGCGAAACGCGCGACGAGTGCAAAAATATCAGTTTGGTGTTAGAGTAATTGATCTATTGAAAAAGTTTTCACGTTTTACACCAAAGGTTCCAATCTCATCGTTTGAACCGATTTTAGTGAAAATCTTAGTGTTTTTGGTTACTTTCATCAATATGGCTTTCTGGAGACCTTTTGAAACAAATGATAACATTACGTGTGAGGAATCTGTGTCAATCGACAGGGATCCGGAATTTGAAAATAAGGACTTACATGTTCAAGTTCAGCGAGTAATTTTGAGTATTCATGAATGCTTGAAGAAGGAAAACTGTCACATTTCACAGAATGCTATTGTGAATAGAATATGCGAGTTAACGAAACTATCTCGTTCGACAGTTCTTCGAGTCATCAAAATAGGGGATGTCATTGACCATGCAATGAAACGAAAACAAAGGAATAAAAAATTCGCAAACGTTGATGGTGCTAAAAAAGATGTTATTCGGCGAACAATTTATGGTATATACCAAAAAAATGAAGTATCAACTTTGGAAATGATTTGGTATAAATTACTCGACTATCCCGATTACAATTACAAATCTTTAGAAACTCTACGAGGTGTCTTATTGTCTTGTGGTTTCAAATATAAAAAATTGAACAATCGGATTGTCATAATGGAATCGACACGCATTGTTCAACTCAGACAAGAATATTTGAGTCGAATGAAAAGCTACCGAGAATCCAGTAGACATATATTCTACCTCGACGAAACTTGGTTTGACACCCATGATGTTGTCAAATATGGCTGGGTAGACGAAACTAAGTATTTTGCTTTGAACACACCTTCTTCAAGGAGAAAACGTGTTATAATTTTGCATGCCGGGAATGAAAGTGGTTTCATACCTAACGATTTGCTTCTGCCGGCCAAAAATATAAAAGATTCGTCTGCTGACTACCACGAAGATATGACTGCGGCTTCATTCGAAACCTGGTTCAGGGAGCAGCTTCTCCTCCAAACTCGGTTATTGTTATGGATAACGCTTCGTATCATTCTCGGTTATTGACTAGTGTACCAAACAATAACACAAAAAAAGCAGATATTGTTGATTTCATGTGAAATCATGACATGGAAATACCCGAAAAGATTCAAACGAAAAAGGTATTACTGGCAACCATAAAACAACGTAATTTCAAAAAAGAGTATATTATTGATTCGATGTGTGAAACACGTGGTTATATTCTCTTACGTTTGCCTCCATACTATTGTGTGTTCAATCCAATTGAAATGGTTTGGGTCACAATGAAAGAAAGCTTGCGGAAATGTAATCAGTCAGCGACTTTGAATGCTGTAGTGCTTGACAATATAAGGCGAGTGGTGGTGAATGAAGTAGGTAATAGTGATGTCTGGAAGAACTGTTTGGCCTACGTTATGAAATAAGAGAACAAATATTATGTGCAAAGTTCCATACATCCGATCGTTATTCAACCCGATGATGATTCCACCTCATCCTAATATAGCGAAAAAGAATTTTGATTTTTCTAGCAATTTTGTTGGTCTCTATTATTTTGTAAATATATGTTTGACGAGAATTCGTTGTGATTATGGGTGTTTTCATTGTATTTTAGAGTTTCCGACTCGGAAATCAACTACCTTAAATTTCGAAGTTTCTCATAATTACCCATGGTGGAAAAATTCAGTTGAGATAACTTTTTCATAGGGTGATCAATTGCTATGATTGTAAGAATAAGTAACTGAAAAACTACCACTGAAAAATAATATGCCGACGCCTATGTCGAGGCGGGAATTCCTTCTCTGTGCTGTTCCAATTGGTATTGGAAATACTATACCAATTTAGTCGTTGCTCGGCAGGAGCCAAGAACTTTCAACTTGACTGTCCGAGAATATTTTTATTGACTTGTGTATGAGGTTGGATTATTCCAATCTCTCTGCACACAATTCATTAGCGTAAATTACCGCTTGAAATACAGTCGCCTAGGCAGGTTGATATCTCTGTCCTGGGTCTATGACTGATAACACCTGCACCAGAACGGGAAGGTGCTGTAGTAGTTTGTGAATGTATTCGACTGAATTGGGCTTGTCTCGTAAATGAATGAATTAGAAAATGTTTTTATAACTATATATAAAGTCTGAATATCCCCAACAAATAAAATTTATTCCAATTATTTAAAAAAAAATCTGTTTAAAATCTGTTTTTCCGTTAACCAGCTGTCGCACCCCTAAGAATTAACAAGGTCTTACCTTTTAACGTGTGATTCCTAACACGGGACTAAACATGAGCACCGCCTTGCGACTAATTTTCCAAACGGAAGACGTTGCACAGGTGCTTGATGGTTTCAAATAGAGACGTCGAATCTTTCGACAGTTCACGTCCCTTCATATGGTGATTAAGATAACGTTGGTCATCCCTGCTAGTAACATCGAAGGATATATAGATACCTTTGAATGGGCCAATCCTCGGAGGTTAGGTTAGGTAACCGTGAAGAACTGTGGTTCGTGCAAAAAAGTTTGTTTCTTCAAAGCATTCAAAAAGAGGTACCTACATATCGATATAGCGTTCCATTTGAGATTCTGGGCTGCAGCCCACTGGTACCACCCCTTAGAGGGTGAATGAGTTGTAAATGTAAAAGTAGATTTCTTGGTACTTATATAATAGATAGATTAGATAGCACTTCATTTCAAATAGGTGTATACCCAATTATAGGAAATGTTAAAGAAAATATACTGAAAAAATAACATTCAATTCAATTAAATTCACATATTAATATTCAACTGTTAAATTACAACTGATAAGAACAATATAAATGAAATAATATAATTAGATTCAATTGATATATTATAAATGAATTTAATGTTGACACAAAATAATTGAAAATTATATAAAAAACTAGATTCAAACGACTATTGAAACACCAATCATATATCAGATCTAATTCATACTGTATGAATTTTGGACATATGTAATGGCCAAAATTTTGTACTGAAACCCTGTATAGAAGAAACCAGAATTTTTGTGTTCAGGGGCAAATTAGTCAATATTGATTTTTCATTTAGTTCGGAACGAATTTATTTGGACTTCAGACTTCTTGGAACTGCAGTTCTTAATAAACTTGTTATTGAAGAATTCTCAATTATGCAAATGTGATATTTTTTGTTTATTTCATAGGTTGGGGATCAAATTATCCGCATTAATGGGTTTACGATTGAGGACGCAATTCACAAGGAAGTTCTTCAATTGATTTCCAACCATCACCATCTAACCCTCAAAGTTAGAGGTAAGTTTACCACTATATTTCTAATAGGTATTTTGAAATTATTAAAATATATTCAATTCATTTGGAGTTGAGGTGCTCTGTGAGTAATTTTCAATCTCCGATTCTACAGTAATTGAAAAACTGTCAGCGGAAATAAATCACTTAGTTCGGTGTTTTCCGTTCAAGGTAATGAAGTTCTTTGATTAACATCATTTAAGGGTCAGAAAAACAATTAAGATCAACAAATGGATTTCATTAGTTTAATGAATAATTTAGTATTACGGTGTTCCAAGCAGAGGAACACCTGTAGTCGGATTCCAAAGCGGGAATGACTTTTTTGTAAAAGTGCAATATCCTGTTTCAATAGTGAAAAGTCACGTAAATGCTTGGACACAAAGCGAAAAACGATAAGAAAATTCCAGTAACGTTATATAACGAAATCACTGATTTTCTTAGCCTTCTATGATGATTTTGAAATATCAAATAAAATATTGAAGAGTGAAAAGGGGAGTTTTGAAGGGAACAATCATCTGAAAGATGTACAACGTACCGTTTCAAATTCAGTTGGTGAAGATTTCATATTGAATGCACGAAAAATTGGGAATAAATTGAAAACTTCGGATATCTTTATTAGGAAAATTCTAAATGACTTTTCATTATATTCCTTATAGGATGAAGAAAATACTTTTGTCTAATTTTCATCGGTTTCAGTTTGTTAGACCATTATCAAGCAACTGGTACATTTTTGTTTCTGATGTAGATATGTGTATGACATCCTCGTGAGTTTCTACAGCTCAACACTCTCTACGATAAGATAAAATTCACGATCGAAATGGAACAAAACAACATTAACTTCCTGGATCTCACTATTACAAAAATCTATAATAAATTATAGTTCAACACCTATAGGAAAAACACTTTTACGGACTGGACTGTACATAGAACATTTATAGTTCCATTATCAGAGAAGGATTTTCAAGAAGAAATGAAGCAGATAGCATGCAACAACTATATTTCCGCCAACTCAGTTGAGAAACTGATCTTCAATAAAAACCTAAAATTGATCAGCAACGAACTATACCTGAATCATGAAGAACCTAAAGAAGCTAAGAAATATGCTAGTATAAGCTATTCGGGAAAGCTATTCGGAAACATAGAAAACTATTTTTCAAAACTCCATATAATTACATCATTCACCAACGAGAATACTTTAAGGAACATGCTTTTCAACGTAAAACTCAAAATACGTGGAAAAATCGGGCATATATAGACTAGAACGTAGTGACTGTTCAGCAGCTTATTCTAGCCAGACAGACAGAAATTTCAACATAAGATACCGGGAGCATGTATTACCATATGAAAAATCAGCCATAGTAAAACCAATAATGATTGAGAGTAAAGCGCGTTGTCATATCTGAATTTTACGTTACCAGTTTATAGCTGAATCAAAATATAGTAAGCAGTAGAGTTGTAGATTGTGGCAAATTATAGATAATACACAATACTAGTACGATTGAAAGGTATTATTTATGACAAAAATCAGTAATGAGCTTGTAATGAGTAATACTTATACATTTCCTGATTACTGATCAGTTNATTACAGTTTTAAGGTTACCACCATACCACTGCGAATTAAACCCAATAGAATTAATCTGGGCGCAAGTAAAAGGATATGTGGCACGAGAAAACAGAACATTTAAATTAGTGGACGTGCAACATCACCTACAAGAAGCTATTCGAACTGTTTCTGCAGAAGACTGGAAGAAATGCATGCAGCATATTTTAAAAGAAGAGCAACAAATGTGGGACGTAGACAACCATCTTGAACACAATATATATATTCTATTATCAAAAATTTGTAATTTTTGATAATAGAATATATGTTTGTGTTTTTTATTAATATTGTTAATTTATTTGGTACCTACTATAATTACCACAATTATTACTCCGTTTTCATAAGGCCCACCTAATGACTACAACGATTAGGTAAATTACGATATTGCAAAGATTTAATGAAATAAATAAAAATGTGTATGAATATTTCAACTAATTGTACTAAGAATTTTTCTTTCAAAAATTAATAAGCACGCCCCCGATTTGCTGTCAACTGGGCTTACTTCTACTCTCAATCATTATTGGTTTTAGTATATATATGGTTATCTACAAGAAACAAACCACACAATGAATATAGAAAACATGAAAACATACGTGCAACAAAGGAAGGGTGATGAATTTGTTGGAAGCATAAATAAATTGTATGAAAACCCCACATTCAAAACCTTCAATGATCAACTAGAACTATACAGCTCTTCCCCTTTGAGTTTGTGAATTTTGACAACTAGTTTAGGATCCACTGGTAGCTGGAGAAGATAATTAGTCATTGTTGTAATATTGTTATTTTTGTAATATTGTTATTTTAAGAACTTATTTCGACAAAATTTATTAGTTACTTCAGAATGGTCTAATAAACCGAAAAAGGTCGTAATAAATAATGAATTAAGTAGAAATTAGACAAAGTATTTTCTTTGTCCTATATTCAATATGAATTTCAACAAAATAAATAGGTTATCAATCGAACAACAAGTTATATTTCTTTAATATCCCTCTCAGGTTCTATTCCTTTGTGAATTTACAATACGGATGAAGGCGAACGAAAATCTTTTAGTTGATATAGAAATGCCAATCACCTTTGAAGCCTATATAGTCGTCCAGGAAGCAACACTTCATTGTGAGGTTTTCACTGAACACTGAACACAAAAACGCAACACGTGTTTCACTATACAATAGCTTTCTTAGCCTACTAACTGAATTCTACCTTATTAGTGTTTTACATAATTCAATAATTTGATTTAATCATTTCACAACGAATAGCTATAAACCAATTGGGCATTGAAACGATAGGGGATTAATTTTATGAACTCACCCTGTCATACCTGGAAATTACCTGCGTTAAAGTATCCATCAAATACTAATTTCCATTTTAAAAATAGGATTGAATGAATGGAAAGACTTTTTGAATCCATTGACTTCCAAGCATTCCAAAAGATCGAGTTTCAAACCTTTCTCTCTGCGTTAACCTAACAATTAATTATTAATTTCCACCTTAGAAATAGGATTTAATAAATGGAAAGAATTTTTAAATCTATTGACATCCAAGCATTCCAAAAGATCGAGTTTCAAACCTTTCTCTCTGCGTTAACCTAACAATTAATTATTAATTTCCACCTTAGAAATAGGATTTAATAAATGGAAAGAATTTTTAAATCTATTGACATCCAAGCATTCCAAAAGATCGAGTTTCAAACCTTTCTCTCTGCGTTAACCTAACAATTAATTATTAATTTCCACCTTAGAAATAGGATTTAATAAATGGAAAGAATTTTTAAATCTATTGACATCCAAGCATTCCAAAAGATCGAGTTTCAAACCTTTCTCTCTGCGTTAACCTAACAATTAATTATTAATTTCCACCTTAGAAATAGGATTTAATAAATGGAAAGAATTTTTAAATCTATTGACATCCAAGCATTCCAAAAGATCGAGTTTCAAACCTTTCTCTCTGCGTTAACCTAACAATTAATTATTAATTTCCACCTTAGAAATAGGATTTAATAAATGGAAAGAATTTTTAAATCTATTGACATCCAAGCATTCCAAAAGATCGAGTTTCAAACCTTTCTCTCTGCGTTAACCTAACAATTAATTATTAATTTCCACCTTAGAAATAGGATTTAATAAATGGAAAGAATTTTTAAATCTATTGACATCCAAGCATTCCAAAAGATCGAGTTTCAAACCTTTCTCTCTGCGTTAACCTAACAATTAATTATTAATTTCCACCTTAGAAATAGGATTTAATAAATGGAAAGAATTTTTAAATCTATTGACATCCAAGCATTCCAAAAGATCGAGTTTCAAACCTTTCTCTCTGCGTTAACCTAACAATTAATTATTAATTTCCACCTTAGAAATAGGATTTAATAAATGGAAAGAATTTTTAAATCTATTGACATCCAAGCATTCCAAAAGATCGAGTTTCAAACCTTTCTCTCTGCGTTAACCTAACAATTAATTATTAATTTCCACCTTAGAAATAGGATTTAATAAATGGAAAGAATTTTTAAATCTATTGACATCCAAGCATTCCAAAAGATCGAGTTTCAAACCTTTCTCTCTGCGTTAACCTAACAATTAATTATTAATTTCCACCTTAGAAATAGGATTTAATAAATGGAAAGAATTTTTAAATCTATTGACATCCAAGCATTCCAAAAGATCGAGTTTCAAACCTTTCTCTCTGCGTTAACCTAACAATTAATTATTAATTTCCACCTTAGAAATAGGATTTAATAAATGGAAAGAATTTTTAAATCTATTGACATCCAAGCATTCCAAAAGATCGAGTTTCAAACCTTTCTCTCTGCGTTAACCTAACAATTAATTATTAATTTCCACCTTAGAAATAGGATTTAATAAATGGAAAGAATTTTTAAATCTATTGACATCCAAGCATTCCAAAAGATCGAGTTTCAAACCTTTCTCTCTGCGTTAACCTAACAATTAATTATTAATTTCCACCTTAGAAATAGGATTTAATAAATGGAAAGAATTTTTAAATCTATTGACATCCAAGCATTCCAAAAGATCGAGTTTCAAACCTTTCTCTCTGCGTTAACCTAACAATTAATTATTAATTTCCACCTTAGAAATAGGATTTAATAAATGGAAAGAATTTTTAAATCTATTGACATCCAAGCATTCCAAAAGATCGAGTTTCAAACCTCTCTCTTCCAAATGTAGTACGTCATAGTCTTAATTGAAGTCATACATTCATATCCCTCTGCCGAAAGATGGTTTGCAAATATGGAATTGGTCTTCTCATTCAAAGAACTACTTTCATTGCCTCTTATTCTTTTGGAAAATGTTCTCCCCGTTTGAAAAATATTGAGCTTTGCGCAAGAATCACAAGTCAACTTATATATCCCTGATCACAATTATCATATTTCGGTATGACCAATTGT